TATATTTTTAAATAAAATATCACGATAAAATGTTAGGCAAAAGACATTGTGGAACGAAGTCATACAACAACACCACTAAAGCGCATACCACCATAGGCTAGGATATTGTTGGCTAGTTTTCTATTTTGAAGATAAAGATTATATCTAAAGTTGTATCTTTTAAATGTTTTTTTTTTTTTTTACATTTTTAGAAGATTTATTATATAATTTGAATTGTATCAGATTATATGATAAGAAATATTTAATAATAAATAAAATTTTTAATATTAAAATTTTTTATTTAATAATTTTTATTTTATAAGTTAATAAAATTTAAACTTTTAAAAAAATATCTTTTTTTCTTAACGAATCTCTTGGGAGTTGAAATCTGAAATCATGCACTTTTCACGTTTGGTCTTCAGTACTTCACAAGTCAAGATTCACACCGAATGGCAAGGAATTCTTCCAAAATCTTGTGCCTTTGTCAATATTTCTCTTTCCACAATTGATAAATAATCTCCAAGTGTCGAGACAATCTGAACCAAATCTTTGACTGAATCTTTTAAATCCGATGTTTAATTGTGGTCCTGCTTAGAAGGTCTTATATGTAATTTGAGACACCGCATATTATTATTTATTTGACATATTATTGACCACTAAAAATTAAAAAAAAAAATTGAAAATAAAATTTGAAAATTAAGAACCTACCCAAATCATGAGAGAGTAAGTCCACCATGACAGATTTGTATTTATGAGGTGCAGTTGAATGTAAGGAAGAATTTACACGCCTGTTACAAATTTCGTACCACATAGGGTGTGTACCTTAATTTTAGGATTTATTCAATTTTATTTATTTATGAGAAACATCGTGATTTTTCTGGAAAGAAGGTGAACGGAAGGGATTGGGATTTGATTAGACAAAAACCGTAAAAGCCATAGAAAAAAATATTAATTATATAATTATAATATTATATAAAATTATAAATTTATAATTAAAATGTAATATTAAATAAATATAATATAATATTTTAAAAATAAATACATATAATATTTTAAATATATTTTTAAATAAAAAATTAATTATATAATATATTAAATTATAAATTTTTAATATTATGTAATATTAAAATTATAATATTTAAAAAGAAAAAAAATCGAAAGAAAAGTTTAATGAGATGAGCTAGGTTTGCCAAACTAGAGTCTGTTTAACATTTTTAACCTACAAAACACTGTCATATTACTAACCTTCCATCGAATAGAACCTAGTTGGTTTTATTTTCTTCTTTAAAGATTCATTTGGGCCTAAAGCATCGAAGAGTCCTCATTTTTATGTTTGGGTCTGAATGTTATTGTTTATATCATAAATTGTAAAAATTTAAAATCATGTCATGTGTCGAAATATTTTTAAATGGATGGAGGAGATTTTGTCATGTTAGATTTGTTATTCTAAACTCCATGACAAATCAACTGTCACATTAGCAAAAAATAGAGATAAAGATAAGAGTTTACCATATAATTACCTCTTTAAGTAAAAAAAAAACTGTTTTAGCTAAAATTTAAGAAGAGATTGCAGTTGTAGAAAGTAGTTATTTGATAAGGGTACAAGTGACGAAAATCTAGGAGATTTGACTAGATCAACTGTTGAACTGTCTCATTACTTCAAGAAACCACCAACAACTTTGTAACTGCAAAAAGTGGGGAGTTATTGCCGGTCAAAGGAGAACAAAAAGGAAATTTTGAAACGGAGAACACACGATCAGCCTTACTCAAACATGTGCAAATTTTTAGATTTTCAATTTCTTTGCAATTGCTTTCAGATTTCAGATTTTAGCACAATTTCCAATAGATCTAAGTTATTTTTCATCATTTTAGTAGGTAAACTAATTTAATTATTTACTTCAACAATTTTGTTTCATGCAATAAACTTTAGTCTTTCAAATTTTTTCAAGGTACTATTCATTTTCTGTCTGCAATGAATTTAATATTTATGATAAGTAGAATTTTTTCAATGATTACTTATATGGCGTTTATGCTTTTTCTCAACTTCAAGCATGTTAATTTAATTGTTGTTCATGTTTATTTTAGTTTTAATTAGGGCAGAATCTCTAATTCTGCAGTAGTTTAATTTTCAGATTTATCAATAAATAACATTTTAATTTAACAATGAACATGTTTAATTTATTTTGGGTACATCTTGTTCTTGTAAATTTACTTTAAATTGCATGCTATTTAATTTAATTAGGATTTGTTAACTTTAATTCACAGTAGTGTTTAAGTCTTTTGAATTGTCCAAGGTAGATTTCGTAACTTATTTTGCAAGAAGGTATCTCTCCCTCTTGTAAATCGTCTGTAGGTGCAAATTTCAATTTTAATCCAACGTTCTTCTTGCTATCTGCAAGGAGGTCGACCGTGAGAAAGGAGAGGATCATTGGAAAAGTCCATCTTTCTTACTTTCAGCAAAGTAAGTGGTATGTTTGCATCAAGATTTTACACGTACGAGACCATTAGAGGATTTTTGAGAAAACAATCATTAAAAGAAAAGTCTGATTGCACTTTTATGATTGAGTCCAACCCATTTGCTTTGTAAAGCATTTCTTTTCACTCAAACTTATATGTATGGGTCAGTAATTTTAAGTATAGGTCAAGTATTAGGTATATTTGGTATTTAATTTAAAAAATTTTTAATATAATCTTTTAAACTTAATATTTATCCGAGTAAGTAAAAATATATATTTGATATTTAAACAACAGGTGTGGGTGTATACTTATATACTTGGTTTAGAAAAAAAAAAAAAAGAGTTTAATATGAGATGTAATTGTAAATTTGTAATGCGTGTTATGTGTTTGACTCAAAGTCTATTATTTTTACAAGTTGTTATTGCTGTATGTGTAATTTATTTGGTTTATAAGCCTTGCTTAATTTTTATTTCTATTTTTTCTATTTTGTTATTTTTATTTTTTAAAATTATTATTATTATATAAATATTAAATATAATAAATACATGTAAAATTTCAATTATATAAATATAAGTAACACATGAGTTAAACAAGATGATTAAATAGATCAAGTAAACAATTTTGAACTTATGTTTTTATTAATTAACTTGATATTTATTGATATACTATTTTAAAACCTATTACTTACCTATTTTTTCTACAGTTTAGGTATACCCTACTTATTTGTATAGATAGTCTGAACTGCACAATGGTTAAGGTGGGCTTTCTGACATCAGGAACTCCATCCATTGAATTAGGGTGGGTTTTTTTGATATTAAGGTTCTCTCCAAATGTGGCCACTGTTTTGCATTTTGCAATCTAGTCCTAGGCTACAACATGTTGCAAAATAGGGAACTCTCTATTTCTATTAAGCTGGAAATTGGTAGAAATAAATATAATGAAAATGACTTTGCGAAAATTACATCAAAAGAAAATTCGCACAATCATTCCGACAACGAAAATTTAGCTTTTATTTCATTTCTTTTCGAATGAGTGCAATGTTATCAAACTTTACAAGAGAGCACTGTTTTTTAAACTAAAACATACTCTCCCTGGCATATATTATACAAATCAAATTTGGAAAGGAACTAAGCTTGAAATGACCACGCCAAATTTATATACTCAGACTTATAAAAAAACAAACAGCAAACACGAAGAAACCACAATTTTTATAGAACATGTCAAATAAAATGAAGAAAAGACAAGCAACCCAAAGAGGAGTAATTGAACAAAAATGAAATCAAATGACTAAAAATTTAAAATTATCAAATAGGGACTTATCATTTGAAGTGCATCAGCAATCATGAACTCCAACCAAATACTAGAAATAGAATTTTATTTAATGTACTATACAGAATCATACCAAAGGTGCATTACAAACTGATTTTTCAAACTATGTCAAACAAAAGGATGCAACAACCAAAGGCTTTCCAGAATATATCAAGGAAACAATGGGTATACAAAAGAAACTTTTGAGCAAGAACAAAGAAATGATCAAGGATATCAACCATGAGAAGGCAACAACAGGGGACATTAAACATGAATACAGCAGCAGCAAATGATATCAAACATGAACAAAGCTAAAATATAGAATATTGAGGATGAACAAATACAATCAGCAGAAAATGTTGATTTTCATTACAGTTACATCAAAAAACCTTTAGGAAAACATAGTCAATTCAATAATCTATAAGTAAAATGAAGATCCTCAAACATGGAAATTCATATGACACACAGACTATGGATCAAAAAGAATTAGACAAGAAATGCAATCCGAGAGAGTCATCTAGCCATTATTTCATTTTTCAGATTTTTTTTTTCAATAAATCCTGATTATCTGTCATAGATTAACAAAATGTTAAGCTCAACCTTATTCTCCACAATCAAAGAAGCAGTGGCTGCCCAGCGGATACTAATTCGGTACAGCATGCCCTAACCTCATCAGCTCTCTAACAATTCTATTGAACTCAAAATTAATTGAAGTTGACAAGAAATTCTAACTCACTGCGAAAATTAATAAAGGAGATCTAAATGCAATCTAAGTTTAAGAATGTCTTTACCAACAAAAGAAATAGAAATTAGTGGAACTGAAGGCACTAAAGTTGGGAATTGAACCCAGGAACGACGCTGAATCTGGTTAGTAGAGCCAGAACGCCATGATCTGGAACAGGAGCTCAGATGATGTGGCCGTAGGTTGATCGCAGTTTCTGTGAAGATGTGTAACAAGATTATAACCGAAGGTGGTGATCGAATGCAGAAGGAGAGCAGTAGACTGGAGATGGAGATTGGAGTAAGGTGACTTTCTTATAGGTGATTCAGAGAAAAGTAGGAAATCGGAGGAGAGGAGAGGATATAGGGAGGTTCCGGGAGGAGGATTTCTCGGAGGCAGAAGGTTGTTCGGCAGTCCATTGGTGGTTCCGGAACAGAGGTCGAATCACAGGTCATGCATGTGTTTTGAGCAAACTCTATTGGGCTAACTTCATTGGGCCTCAACATGATTTCTTTATTTTCTCAATTTAGACTCTAAGCTTTAAATTTTGTGCAGTTGAGTCCTCCTTGATTGGGCACTGCAATTCCGTATCATCAAAATGGTGTTTTGTGCCGAAATGTTTAACACTAATGCAATGTCAAAAATGAACATAACCTAAAATTAGAAAAAAACAAATTTATTGTAGGGAACTTATTGAGAATCGATATCCATACAAAGACAAATTTCTTTTTATGTACAAAAGGGTTCAACATTTTTTGAATAATGCATGTCTTTCCTGCTTCACTAACTATGGTAATTGCTTGTAAATTGAATTAACTAAGTACATGCCATCCTTCTCCCAATGCCAAATCCATCTATCGTTATGGTCCTGTTGAATTGATCCATCATAGCCTTCTCCTGTTGGAAAGGTTGTTGTCACTAGTTAAGGTTTCATTGCCAATTGTCTCAAGATCCTACTTCAGCAATTGTAGTCTTTATATGTAGAGAAAAGGAAACAATTTTGCAAATACATTACATTACCTCTTATCCCCACTCCAAACATCCTTAAAAGATGACGCTTTTTTCATTTCTTAAAATCAATTTAACTCCTTTGCTAACCAACCCTTCATCAAACCTTTGTACATCCCATTCAAATTACAAATACTCCACCACTATCAAATCCTCAACCACCCTCCTCTCAATTAGGAAGAATGAGGTGTCACCTAAGTACAATGGAAACAAAAATAATACCAAAATCTTCCTTAATCTATATGAAACTATTAGGAGCAAGCTAGATCAAGCTCAAGCAAAATATGAAAGTAACTAAAATATGCAAAATATGAAATATGGTTAAGGGAAAAAACCAATCACCACAAGAGATACAAGATTTTTACATAGAAAACCCCAAAAAATGAAAAAAGCCATGGGACATCTAGTCTACTAAAAATAGCTCCACTATAATCATGAGAGTAAACAATATTCTCTTCTAAAAAGGTACAAGAACCGCACCAAATAATAGGAATAACAAGGCACAAACTAATAAAAAAAAATAAAACCACAAGAGAAACAAACTACCAAAAATGAGCTATTGTTTTGGGTATGAAATCAAAAGCTATAAAACTTCAAACCAAAAATTGACTATTTAGAATGTAGATTGATGTCTCATGAACATCTAGCCAAAATTCTAGCTCAATCCAATGGTGAAGTTTTGCAGATCAAACAAATTGGCAAGATTGCACATAGTACCAAAAATTGCAAAAATTTCCCTTTATTTCCCTTTTTTAGCCGACTCCACTCCACCTCACATGCTCTCCACTCTTCACTCCTAAATCAAACCCCATTTTTACGTGTCTTAGAGGGCTACAAAAACATAATTCAAGTGGGTTTTGTGCAGGTTTAATACAATAAACGTTGCGTTATTTCTCCACATAAGAGAGGTAAGCCTAACCCAGCAATTCACAGTTAAAATTGCCATCCTAATGATTAAGCAACATTCTTCAAACTTTTTTGTTGGCAAAGCTTTGGTCCTTTAGTCTTGTGCAACCTATTACATATATTAAGCTACCCACTACAGATGCATAAGGAAATCTTTGCATATATTTTTTCTCTGCATCATTGAAAGGACATTGATTTTTGCTCAACTTGAAGTGCATAGCTCAAGACATACTAACTTCCTTAGCTTTGTCTAGTTGAAACCTTTGAATTATTTTTGCAATGTAATTCTCCTATGATAACCACAACTTCTTAGACACCTTGTCATGACTTATCTTTATGCCTAGAATCTATTTTGCAGGTCTTAAGTCTTTCATGGCAAAAGACTTGCTCAATTCTTGCTTCAACTTCTCAATCCTAGAAGCATTTCGACCAACAATAAGCATGTCATCAACATATGGCAACAAAATAATAAAGTCATCAATAGAGAATTTCTTTATAAAACATAATGGTTTGAAGAAGTCTTTTGTATTTATGCCATCTTATAATTGATTCAAGCTTCCTGTACCATTACTTGGGAGGTTGTTTCAAGCCATACAAGTTCTTTTTCAATCTACACACAATATCTTCTTTCTTTTAACTTTGAATCCTCTTGGTAGCTTCATATAAATGTCTTTATCTAAATCACCATAGAGAGGCACTTTTCACATCCATTTATTCAACCTCCAAATCAAGATGTATTGCTAAACCTAACACAACTTAAATTGAGGAGATTTTTACAAATTAAAAAAAAAAAATCTAACCAAAATCAATGCCTTTTTTGAACTAAAGTCTTTGACAACAAGTCTAGCTTTATACCATGGAACTAAGATGCCATCTTCTTGTTTCACCCTTTAAACGCACTAATTCTTCAAGGTTTTCCTCTTTTTTTTTTTTTTTTTTATAACTTAACCAAATCAGAGGTATTGATTATCAAGTAAAGATTAATCTTATCTTTCATGGCTTCAAGCCACTATTTTATTCTCATTTTCCATGGCTTCCTATTAACTTTCATGTTCACCCTCATTAGTGACAAGTACATACTCACTAGAAGGATAATGAGGTAAGGGCCTCTTTTCCCTACTAGATCTTCTTGGTGGATCTACTAAGACCTCTGCAGGAACATCTTACTGATCATTAACTGTTTCATTCAAAGGAGCATTAAGATCATTTGCATTTACATGATCATTTTGAACTTGATCATCATCATGAATGTCACCTATAACTTCATTATTTTGAATATGATTCTCAACTGCATTTGGTACCACAGTCATAGTAGCTAGTCTACACTCAACCAAACTTTCATTGCTTTGAAGACTTGTCTTCTTTGCGTTATAAATATCCTTAATAATTTGGCCCTTAAAGAGTACTACATCGTAACTTCTAACTAGTTTCTTTTCAATTAATCATACAACTAGTAGGCGAATTCATCTTGACCATAACCAATACATTGCATAGTTTTAGCATCTAGCTTCAACCCCTCATCCTTAAAGACATGCACAAAGGCCATCCAAAGACCCACAAGTGATCATAAGAAACATTTTGGCCATACCAAACTTTGTTAGGAATATCATTATCCAAAGCAATGGTGGGAGACATTGATAACATGCATTATTGTATTAAAAGTGTCAACCCAAAAGTTATAGGCAATTCAGTTTCAACAAGTTTCAACAAGCACACATCTAACTCTGTCCACCAAATTTTGTTTATCCTCTTCAAAGGAGTTGTCAAGTACCTTATACCTTGCTCTCTACAATCATTATCAAAAGGCTTAGAATATTCACCACCATTGTCTATATGGATACACTTCAATTTCTTGCTTGTTTGTCTTTCAACCAAGGCTTAAAATTGTTTAAACGCATCAAAAACTTGATCTTTGTTCTTTAAGGTATAAGCCCAGAGCTTCCAAGAGTAATCATCAAAAAAGTTGACAAAATAAAGTGCAATACCATGTGACCTCACTTTCAAAGGTCCACACACATTAGAATGTGCAAACTTTAGCAAATCTAGTTTTGTTGAAGGAAGATGACTTTTGAAAGAAACTCTTTTCTGTTTCTTAGCCATGCAACCAACACATTTCTCTAACTTTGCTTCCTTTAATCTATAAAGCACATTCTTCTTGGCTAAATATTCTATCCTCTTCATAGTTATGTGATTAAGCCTCCTGGTTCATAACTTTGATAATTCATCTTTTCCAACTACATTAATAGAGCCATTATAGAACCCGACATCAAATTATATTTGGAAGACTTGGAACCTCAAGTTACAACAATGGAGCCGGTTAGTATGTTTCCATTGTCTAATTCTGAAAGAATAGCAATAACCATTATCATCCATCTTTAATACCCCAAAATCACCAAAAATATAAGATGTGAAACATGCCTTCCTAGGTGTAACAGGTGTGTAGCACTAGAATCCTTAACCTAACTTGTCTCATAAGATGCAAAATTGATGACATTTTCATCACTAGCAAAAAAAAGATCATCTTTAACAACAATAGTAACACAGTTTTAATTATCCCTATCTTTCATTTACTCTTATCTCATCTTCTTTTTAAGTTGAAAATTATTTTTTTAATATGTCTATTTTTATCACAGTGGTCGCATATAAGATCTTTGTACCTTGCCCTTGACTTCTACTTTTATCTCTACCTCTTTGACCATTATATTTGCTCTTTCTCGTCTTTTATGACTAGAACATCTGACTATGAAGTTGAAGAAGATGTAGCCTGATTAATTCTTCTCACCTCCTTATTCAACATACTAGTCTTAGCACATTCCATCATCATACACCATTGAAAGTAGCATTGGTCCATGAAACCCAAAAAGTTTCCAATGAATCAACAAAGTATTAAGTAGTCAAAGCCTTAGAATCTCATCATCAAACTTGACACCCATACCAAACAAGTGATTAAGGATGCCTTGGAAATCACTAATATAATCTGAAATGAGATTTGTTTCTTTATACTTCAAATCTATCAATTGTTTTAGTTGTAACAACTTGTTATTGTCAGTTTTTGAAGTATAATGTGTCTCGAGCTTTTTCCACAAAGTTCTAACATGTCTCTGATTTGCAATATGAGTTAAGACATTCCTTCTACCCACTACCTTATATAGCCACAAGCTTAATGGTACTCAAAAGTCCATTTTTCATCAATAATAGAATCTAGTTTCTAAGGCCCAAACATCAGCAAATGTATCTTTTGTACAAAGAGGAGATCTTTCATTTTAAGTCTTCTTTTTTGACTATTTGTGCCATTCAAGCATATCATTTTACTTGTGTTAGCCTCTATATTTCAAATAGTTATCTAAAAATCAACAAGCCAAAAGCTTTGATACTAGTTTGTTGGGAATAACAGAGTGTCATGTGAGCAAAGTAGAAACAAAAACAATAGCAAAATCTTCCATTATCTATTTGAAATTGTTAGGAGCAAGCTAAATCAAGTTTAAACAAAATA